AGTGTTGACTAGTTGGGTTAACGTTTTCTGTTCTTGGAAATGTGAATACCTGTTGTGTGCAACTTCCCATGTAGTTCTTTTTTTAATCTTGATTGTTGAAAGTATTGCATAGGTCCTCCTTCCATGTAGTTTTTCCCCCAGGTAGTGTTGAGTGTCCCATATGGTGCTAGAAGGGATTGCAGTAAGAGAGTTTATGTCTTCATGGGGTTAAAGTCTAATGGGAGAGACAAAGTAAAAATAATTTCAGATTTTAATAAGTGCAGTGATGGAAATAACACTGATTTAAGAGAAAAACAATCACTGTTAGTAGAGGTTCTGCTTCTGAAGAGAATATAGAAAGCCTCAGGAGAATGCCGCTTCTAATGTAACAAGGAGAAAAGTCTGTGTAAGCGACAGAATGCCAGCATTCCTTGGGTGCATCAGAGAACTGAGGTTCAACGGCAGAGCAAACTGAATCCCAAAGAGTGATGAGCCCTCTGACGGGATGGGGCATACAAACTGCTATGTCTCAAGAAGAACCTGAGACAGGTGGCCACTATACAAGCAGGTAAGAAAAAAAGCTAACATGTTAACAGGTTTTTTAAAGGCTGAGTATGGCCTAGCCCAGTGGTTTGTCACTCTGTTGACAAATGAGTTTGCCAACCACTGGGCTAGCCTATCAGTTTGGAAGAGCTGAGAGTCTCAAATAAGGGACCTGAAACACACAGTTCTCAAGGTCTACACCAGGCACTCACCAGATGCTGGGGCGGGTCGTGGGGGAACCCCTGTTAGTGGCTCAGGCAGGCAGGAGGTCTGAGGCATAGGTATGAAGCCCTGCCTTGCTTCCCCCAGACCCTTTCCTTGAGGGATTCAAGTCTTAGGCTGCTGGCGGGGAGGAGCAACACATCACATTACCCTCTGGGGGGGAAATAAAGGCAAAAACCTTTAGCCGCTGGGGCAAAAGTCAGAAATGCTCTGACACAGTCACTGCTAGAGGAGGCCAAGTAAATATCCTTGACCTTGGAGCAGGGGCAGAAAACCCTGGGCCCAGATCCTACTGGGATAACAGATATGCTGCCCCTGAGGGATGGGCACGGAATCCACACACAAGAACAGCAGCAGATTTAAGGCACAGTTTGGCTGCCACAGGGGACGGGGCAAGAGTGTTGAGAGAACCACCCTCCAAGGCCCAGGCACACAGACTGCCTTGGACTGAGGCATCAGTCACAGAAACCCCGGGCCACCACAGCCTCGCACTGAGTAACAAGGGCCACCATCTTAGTGATGACCTGCACAAATGGTCCACTCGGAGAGCAGGAACTGTGTATCTCTTCACTGGCACATAGTACCCAATACATGTGCTTAGAGCGAATAAGAGTGATTAGAACCGTGGTCAGCAAGCTGCGGCTTGCGAGCCACATGAGGCTCTTCGGCCCCTTGAGTGTGGCTCTTTCACAAAATACCACTGCCTGGGTGAGTCTATGTTGAAGTGGCGTTAGAAGAAGTTTAAGTTTAAAAAATTTGGCTCTCCAAAGACATGTCCATCGTTGTATTGTTGATATTTGGCTCTGTTGACTAATGAGTTTGCCGACCACTGGGTTAGAAGAACGAATCAGCAACCCTGAGAACAAGGGTTGGGGGGAGAAAATTCTAAGATATTCCTCAGACTTTACATAACAATGTGCATAGTGACAGAACTAGTGAAACTGGGCTCCGTGCAAATTCTAATACTTTGCCTCACTCCCTCTTTCTTAGGGAGCTGCAGTCACCTTGAAGTATCCCCTCTTCCCAGCAGGAAGGAGCTTGGTCTAAAGTTCCTTGGAGGCAGGGGTAACGGTTAATTCTGCATTGTGTCAAGCACCAGGCATTGTGCACCGTGTGTAACAGATGCTCAGTGAATGCGGAAGAAATGGATGCCTGTGAGGCTGAGGCAGGGAGGCTGCCTTGGAGAGGGTCAAGAGACCTTCAAGGGCAAGAAGACTGTACCCAGTGTCCCTGGGAAAGACCCAAGCGACCCAGTCCCCCTGGACGCAGACCCCTCTCCGGTGGGCTCAGGCTGAGTCTGCATTAGGGCCTTGCTGTAGACACCCGGCCGCATGCTTGCCAACTGCTGCTTTAGGTAACTTCGTCACCATGGGACGCGAAGCTCCCGAGCCGACGCTCTGGTAGCAGCTTGCTTCTCTCCGATTGGAAAACAGAAAATCCTTGTGTTCTTACAAGGTTGAAGCCATCTGGCATTTCCGGTTAGGCCTTTGACTAACCACTTGCAGGCAAGGTTGCCCTATGATTTGTGGGGCCTGGGAAACAGTGCAAATGGAAGGCCATTAGCCATATGTCTAAATAGTTTGTAGCTAAACATCAAGCTAAGTAATTGTTAAATTATGTATGGCCCTCCTATATTGACAAATACCTGTTGTTGTGGCTTTTATAAGACTGAAAATTGGCCAAGTGTCAAAGATGATATTTAGCCCTGGACAGTCTGACTCAGTTGAAGTGTCATCCCCAAACCCCAAAGGTGGTGGGTTTGATTCCCTGTCAGGACACATACCCAAGGTGTGCGTTTGATCCCTGGTCAGGGCACATGTGGGAGGCATCCAATCAATGTTTCTCACATTGATATTTCTCTCGCCTCTCTCTAAAAGCAATTTTAAAAAGATGATATTCAAACACCTAAATTCAATGATCACAAAATTAAAATACAAAAATATAAATTTAATTTAAAAATAAATGGCATTATTTTTTATGTTTCCAACAGTTATTTAAAAGTATTTAAATCATATACAAAAATTAAAGGGAAGAAATCTAATTTATAATTCACAAATGTTTAAAAATTAAATTTCAGGTATTTGAATAAAGTTGAATTTTTTGGAGGGTTTGATTATACACTTTATTTATTTATTGGTATTAGAAAGAAGAAGGGAGAGTCACCAATGTGAGAGAAAAACAGATCATTTGCCTTCCAGTCGTGCCCAGTGGGATTGAACCCATAACCTGGTCAGGGTTATTTACTTTTTAAGCTGAAATTTTCTACTTGACTCTGAAAATGTAATTAATAAATATTTTTATTAAAAAGCTATTTGTGGTTCTAATAGTAAATATCTTAGAATCAGTATCATGTTTCATGTATTTAATGCCTAGACCTACATATTTACACATCAAGAGTAATATGAATTGTTTAATATTGCAGAATATTCCTCACCCTCCGTGTGAACTGCAAATACTGCATCATTCTGTGAGTACCTCTGCAATGGTCAATTAAAGCATGCAGAAAAATGAGCAAGTGGACAAACGGGACATGGTATACTGTTCTGTGATATTCTGCTGCATCCTGCCATGTCCGTGTGGGCTGGCACAGGGAAGGCTTCAGAGAGGCAGCAGAGGGATGCTGGCTTCCATTAGATGCTACCCGAATGCTTGCCAGGTCCTAGGCTCTCCGTACACTGTTTGGTTTCTTTCCCACAGTGACTTACAGAGGTGGCAATGTGTGTCCCTTTTACAGATGGGAAAATTGAGGATCAGAAGGTTACATAACTTGCTCAGTGCCACACAGCTAGCAGTAAGAGTTGGTGCTAGAGTTATAAAGCCCGGCTCTTCCTAACTCCACAGTGGGTGGGCTTGCCACTGTGTTCTCGCATTGGAAGGATGTGTAGGAATTTACCTGAGAGGAACAAGGGGGGAAAAGGGCATCCAGACAAAAGCATTTGTTACTCGAGTTCTGAGGTGTAAACTAAAATCATAGAAGCAAGAGATGTTTGACTATCCATAAAGATGAAGTCCCATAAGGAGTGTAAGTACAACCTTTTGACTGACTTGAATAGGGTCCTTTGCTTGGTTGTTTTTAAGTAATTTCCAACAGGCCCCTCCTGGCTAAGGGTACAAATTCATAACCAGAGTCTAGCAGCCACTGCCAGCAGAAGCCTCACACAGCCCGCTTCTCAGGGAAAGCCAGAGAAGGCAGAGAGCCTCCTGCACTATGCTCCTGCCAGCTGAACCCACCTTTATAACGGAGTTCCTGGAATCGCCCTTCAACCAATGGGCTGAGACCTGCTCTGTCCAATCGGAACTATGCAGCTCTGCCCTCATTTACATACTTACTGACCAATCAGAGCAGCTCTATAATCGACTATTTGGGACAATTACTATCTAGACCAATCAGATTGCAAATCTGGGTTCCTCATTTGCAAAACAATGGGCCAATTAGTAGCGAGGGAGGGAACTTTATAAAAGCCAGCCTCCCTGTTGTGTCAGAGGAGCGCTTAGAATTTTACCGGGATCTGTCTCCTGGGTTAGCAGACTTTGCCTGGGAAACCGTTCTCTTAGGGGCCCTCAGACTGAAGCCTGTAGGCACTGATGGCCCACCTTTCGTTGGCACTGGTAACAGTTTCTGTCCAGGCAGCCTGCGTGCGTCTGGGAGGTGGCGGGAGGCTCACTGCACGCGGCAGGGAACCCGTCTGTGGGTTTGTTTGTTTTTTTTAAAGCGACTTAATCTAGACGTTAGCTTTGCAGACACTATCCAGCGAGCAGTCTGCTAGCCCCTGTCCGGAGGCTAGGTTCTCCGACATGTATCCATTAGCGCAGGGCCCCACTTTGAAGTCGGTGAAAGGAACCAACAAACTAGCATTCCTTCCTCAAACCCCAGTCCCACCTGATTTCGCCCAAATCACACTGGGTGCATTTCCGCTTGGAATTAGCGTCTCCGCAAAGCTCGTTGCAGACGGAACTTATTGCAGGTGGTCCCACGGGATTCTGAACAGGTTGCAGATGCAATGAGAACGTGGACGGAGCACGAGTCTGAACCCACCGGCTCGGGGACGCGCGCCGGTGGGTTCCCAGCCCCGCAGGCGGGCCCTCGGCGTCTGCTCCTGACCCAGGAGGCGGAGGGCGGCGGGAGGGGGTGCGGGCCGGCTCGGTGGCCCTCCGTCCCCTCTTCCAGGCCCTCCCCGCCCTCCACCAGCGCCGCCGGGCGGAGCGGGCGGGGCGCGGGCGGTGGGTCCCGGGCGCCTGCGCCGGCGGGGGCGGGGGCGGGCACCGGGGCGGGGCCGCACCCGGAAGAGCCGTGGCCGGGGCAGCGCAACAGGCGGCGGCGGCGGCCGGGGCTGCGCGGGGCTGCGCGGGGCGGCGGGATGGACAAGCTGAAGAAGGTGCTGAGCGGGCAGGACGCCGAGGACCGCGGCGGCCTGGCCGAGGTGAGGGGCCCCCCGCCCGCCTGGCGCCGGGGGCGGGGAGGGGGAATGGCGCGGCTGCGGCGGGGAAGGAGCCGGACTTCCAGGGCGTCCTGGAAAGCGCTCTGCCCGCCTCCCGGCCCGGCCCGGCCCGGCCCGCGGGCTCCGCGCTCCCCGCTCCGCGCTCCCGGGCTGGCCGGGCGCCGGGCTCCGCGTCCGCGCTGTTCACTGGGTCCCGCACCCCCTCCCCGCGCAGAAGCGGCGCCGGGGCCGAACCCACAATCGGCTGAGCGGAGTGGGTGGGCCCGGCCCGGGGGCCCGGGGGCCCGGACGCGGGGCATTGGGGTCAGGCCGGGCCGGGCACCTGGGGGCGGGCGCCCCTCTCCGCGGGGGGTGCGGGAGCCGCACTGGGGCTCCGGCCGCCGTCCTGGCCGCAGCGGCTGCAGACGTGCCGCTCCCCCGGCCCGTGCCCACCTGCGGGCGTGTGACTGGGCGTGTGACTGGGCGTGTGACCGTGGTTCTCTGCTCGCGCAGCCTGCACCCGGGGCCCCTCCGGGGGGCTGAGCGGGGCACGGACGGCCTGGGTGCCAGAGCCCCCAGAACGCTGTTTCCTCTCCTGGGTGCTTTCTACTTTGGTTGTTTTCCTTTCTGGATAACAAAACACCCTGTGTTTACTTTTGGGCGTGTATTCCCAGGGCCTCAGTTTCCCCACCTCCTGTCAACGCCAAACCTGTTCTTCCTCTCACTGTCATCGGCGTCTCCCAGGGTTGCTCCCACGCTGCTGGTGGCACCGAGTTCTGTGGGATGCCAGTGCCTCCACCCTCCTGTGGTTTAATCTCTGTCACTGCACACCCCACCTGGAGGGAGCACTGTGGGAATGCAGCGTGAGAGGAGCTGAGCTTTAACTCCCCTGCCATCGCAGAGCAGCGCCCTGCCTTCTTTTCTCAAGTCGCTGGCTTTATGAATTGGTGGAGGCCCAGGAGTCACTTCCTGAGTCTTTGTTCTGGATTGCTGCCTCCTGTTAGGAACTCTCCCGGGAAGCCCCGGGGACAGGGAGAAGGACACAGGTCCTGCGTGTGTCCAGCTTTGTGCCCTGTGGACTGTCCACAGCCTTCGTGAGCGGTGGCTTCCCCAGGGGGACCTTTTCTCTTCCCGAGGCTCCGGGGAAGGTGTGGGCAGTGGGGTGATGCCAGTGTTACATGTTTAGAGAATCACCACGAAGCAGTGGACAGCCCCGGAGAGGGAGAGATGCTGAACAGGTTGAGAACTACATCTGAGTTTGTTCTCACCTAAAAGGGTGTCTGTGGATGTTGGGCACCGGGAGGGCTTTACGTGGGAATCTAGTGCGAAACAGAGTAGGTGCTTCTCTCTTGTTCCACAATACCGCTGCCAGCCCCCTCCTTTGGAGAGTGGATTCCGGTTTATGTCCGAGTCCGAACTCCTGGGAAACATTTCGGCGCCGGCCGAATCATTTCCAGGGTTTTTGTTGGCTCTGTTCTTTCCTGTTAGGTAAGAGCCTCTTTAAAACATCGATTGTGCTCACACGTCCCAGGGCTGGCAGGCTGGCAGGCTGCAGGGTTTCCTGCGATTTAATGTCTGTCAGGTGGTAAGGTGGACAGGTGGCCTCTGCCACGTCAGCACATAAGCTGTCAGAAGTTGCCAGAAGCAAGTGCTTTCATTTTCAATTGTTAAAAATAGGTTTTTATTTTATTTTTTTGAAGAGAGATGAAGGGAGAGGGCTGCCTCTTTCACGCCCCCTACTGGGGATTGAGCCAGCAGCCCAGGCATGTGCCCTTGACCAGGAATCCAACAGGCGACCTTTGGGTGCTTGGGTCCATGCTCAGCTAACTGAGCACACTGGCCAAGCTTTTAAAAACTTCTTTTAACACGAACCAGAGAAGGATGACAGTTCTGTCCTCCTATGGAACCGAGGGTTATACACATCGCTTGGCCGTGTCCAAACCCAGCGGTCTCACGGTGGGTCTGCTGATGCCGCATCCGCCTGACTAACCGTCAGCGGGTGGTGTCGGCGGACTGCTTTTAAAAGTGTAGGTTTTGCCAAAACCGGTTTGGCTCAGTGGATAAAGCGTCGGCCTGTGGACCGAAAGGACCCAGGTTCAATTCCGGTCAAGGGCAGGTACCTTGGTTGCAGGCACATCCCCAGTAGCGGGTGTGCAAGAGGCAGCTGGTCGATGTTTCTCTCCCATCGATGTTTCTCTCCCATCAATGTTTCTAACTCTCTATCCCTCTCTCTTCCTCTCTGTAAAAAAAAATCAATAAAATATAAAAAAAATAAAAATGAAAGTGTAGGTTTTGTGTTCCTGCAGAGGGTTCCAGGGACAAGGACGGTCTGAGTGCCCCCTGGCCGGACGGCACAGGAGCGAGGCAGTGTTCCTTCCTCAGCCCTGTTTCCCGAACAGTTCTCGGTGTTACTTCTTTTTGGCCAGAGCTGCTGCTCTGTCCGCATCCCGCATCCCGGAGTCAAAGGCCGCTTTGTGCGTAACTGACAGCACAGCCTCCAGAGTCCATCCGGGCGCCGTTTTAGCGGCTCTGATTTCCGAAGTGTTAGCAGGCTTCCCGGCAGCCGTGAGTTCAGAGACATTTTACACCACTGAGTGTGTTTTCCTAAGCGGGTTTCGTTTTCCCTGAGTCCAGTTAGAAGCAGTGGGCCGCACCTCCTCCTGCCGTTGACCGAGAGCTTGCATCCACTCGGAGTGGAAACGGGTGAAAAGTTATCTGCCCGCTGTGGTGAGCAGGGAGGCGTTTGGACGGAATTCAGCTTGAGGGACTGGTCGAACTAACATATCGCTTTCCTTCTGAAGGTGGAAAGCCACCTTTGCCAATGCTGTTGATTTTTTTTTTTTAAATGAATTTACCTTAAGTGCCCATTTAAAAAAAAATTAATTTCTTTATTGACCTCAGAGAGAAAAGGAAAGGGAGAGAGGGAGAGAAACATCAGTGATGAGGATCATTGATCGGCTGCCTCCAGCAGGTCCCCTGCTTGAGGATTGAGCCCAGAACCCATGCACGTGCCCTTGGCCGGAATCGAACCTGGGACCCTTCAGTCCTCAGGCCAGTGCTCTGTCCACTGAGCCAAACCAGCCAGGGCAGTACCTTTGTTTTCTACAGGGGCTGGAATCTCACCGTTCTCTGTTGAGATCGTTTCATATCTTCCAGGCCAGGGTCAATTCAAGTTTGATACTTACCCTTACGGTTTATTCTCTTAAAAAAAAAAAAAGTTTGAATATTTTAAAACATTCCTGTTGGCCTGGCTGGCGTGGCTCAGTGGTTGAGCGTTGACCTATGAACCAGGAGTCCACGGTTCGAGTCTCAGTCAGGGATCCATCCCCAGTGGAGGGGTGTGCAGCTGGCAGCCGATCAATGATTCTCTCTTACCATTGATGTTTCTATCTCTCCTCCCTTCTTCACTGAAATCAATAAAAATATTAAAAAATAAAGTAAAACATCTCTGTGGGTGCAAACGGTGCTCCGGTGACCGGCCCAGCCCATCCCTGTGCCACCCTTCTCTCCCGCACGCAGCCCGGGGCTGTTTTCCACTTCGGCAAGGTAAGTGCCTGGTGCCGTGGTGTGATTTTATTCTGTTCTTGGGGGAGTCGAACAGGTGGGCAGAGGGGTCTCGCCCGGTGGTCCGGGTGCACCCGGAGGGCAGAGCATCCCAGGACCACTGGGAGGAGAGGCTTTCCTGTCGTTGCACCAGGTGGCCGAGTCCCTGGTCCTAACCCCCTCTTCCCACTGCCTGTTACAGCCCCGAGTGTGCCTTTCGGAGCAGGCGGTGTGTGTGTGTGTGTGGTATTGCAGTGTCACTAGCCCACTTTGACTACCTGTGAACTATAACCTGCCCTAATACCTGTGTCCGGGCGGAGGGAAGCCGTTCCGGAGCAAGGCCTGCTGCACCGGGGGAGCCGCTGGCTCTCCTCCAGCTTCCGGTTGGACAGGAATTTGGGAGACCAGGTTGAAAACAGGCCCTGAGCCGGGAACACCCAAGGCCGAGGGAGTGGCCAGGCCAGTGACCCTGGCAGCCTCTGCCACCGCCTCCCTTCCTCCAGCAGCCCCCACCGCGCTGCCAGACGGAGACTGTGCGGCCACACCGGGGCCCTGGGTGAACAGACCGGCCCGGCCGCCCTGGCCGTGCAGCAGGGCCTGTGGGCTCAGTGGCAGCTGCTGTGCCCGGCCTGGAGCTGCCCTGGCCACTGGTCGGGTGGACGGCCTGGGCCGGCCTCTGCGGAGGACCCCTGGCTGACGCCTGTGGCCGGGGAGGAAGCCTGGCGCTGCTCCCGGCTCCCTGTTTGGCAGCGTTGCTCTGGAAACGGCGGCCTCCCCTGGACTTTGCTCTCGGGAGGGATCAGTCTCGGTGGCAGGGAGCCGGGATGGGTAGGGAGGTAACTAATTAACGAGGCTCTGCCTCCCACTCGAGGGACGCGGCTGGTGCCAGCCCCGGACAACACCACCGACAGCAGCAAAGGACTTAACGGGGTCCTGGGGTGGGGGCCTTCGCCCCGGGTCTCAGAGGTGCTGGCCCTGCAGGAGCAGCGGCTGCTGAGCTTGAGTGGACGCAGGAGGCGATGGCGAGGGCCACAGCTGGGTGCTCCCTGGCTTTGCCCATCTCCTGGGTCCTGCCCAGCAGGGTGCATGCCTTTCCTGTGTGGGCCCGGGCTGCCCGGCTGCCGGCTGCTGGAAGTGGCCGGGGCTGGACACAAAGCCCCGGTTCTGGAGGCGCCCGGCCTCTCGCCGCGGCAGGACAAAGGCTGGTGGACGGAGGAGGAGCTGGTCCCGCGCTCAGGGGGCTCCTCAGCCGGGAGCGGTGGGATTCTGCTCCCGCCGCCCTCAGCGCGTCACACACTAACCTGACTGCGTGCGGCCTTTGTCTCGGGGGCTGTGTGTGACCTGTTTTTCCAACGGCAGGTGGCCGACACATCCTCCCTGAGCTGGAGCACCAGGATCAAAGGCTTCATTGCGTGCTTTGTTGCAGGAATTGTCTGCTCTCTGCTGGTGAGATCCCCCCTCCCCGCCCCCTTGCCTTTGCCCCTGCCCCCCTAAGCTTGGTTCTTCTGGGCCACCCCCCTCCCTTTCTCTGTTGCTTTTCACAGAGACGCATGGGTGAGGGGAGCGGGAGGGGAGTGGGAAGGTAGGGGGGCCCTGGCTGAGGCTGGGGTGGAGATGCAGGCACCTCGCTTTGTCTTCCAGGGCACACTGCTGCTCTGGGTGCCGAGGAAGGGGCTGTACCTCTTCGCCGTGTTTTACACATTCGGCAACATCGCTTCGATCGGCAGGTACGTCTGTCATCCGCCCTCAGCCGGCTATTCGGTGGGAAAGAGCTGTGTCTCATGGGGTGAGGAGGAGCCTGGAGGGAGGGTGGGGGAGGAAAGAGGCAGTCAGGGTGCATCCCACATGTCCTGTCCCTCTAGATATGTTTGCATTTCTTTCTTTTTTTAAAATATATTTTATTGATTTTTTACAGAGAGGAAGGGTGAGAGAGAGCTAGAAACATCGCTGAGAGAGAAACATCGACCAGCTGCCTCCTGCCCATCCTGCACTGGGGATGTGCTCGCAACCAAGGTACATGCCCTTGACCAGAATCAAACCTCAGACCTTTCGGTCCACAGGCTGATTCTCTGTCACTGAGCCGAACCGGTTTTGGCAGATACGTTTCCGTTTCACAGTTCCCCTTGGAGACTCCCTGGGGGGGGACAGGAGGCACGCTGTGCTGGGCTGTCACACTCGGGGGACGGGCGCCGAGCCCTGAGGGTGGCCGTGCGGGCACGACGCAGACCCCTGCGTGGTTCTGGCCCCCGCTGCCAGCGCTGAGGCCGTGATTTCGCGGCGCGTGAAACTTGTTCCTCAGAGCAGCACCTGGTCAGACCGGCTCCTGAGGGCAGGGCACCAGCCGTGCCACGTGCTGTGGATGCACAGACACTCCGGGCCACGTGTGTGCACGCTGACACCTCAGCCACACCCGTAGGCTGACAGCCCCAGGCCCGCCTGAAGCCAGGGGAGCGCTGCCCGACTGTCCTCTCTCCTCGCCTCCCCCAGAATCCCGGGGTCCACCCCTTCCCCATCACAAGGCTCCGTCCCCTTTGTCCCTGTGTCCATTGCCCCTCATGCGAGGAGCCTTGATCAGACCCTGCTGGGCTGTGAGCGTTCTAAGACCAGTGTGGCTCGGCTCCTGCCATGGTGGAGCTCACTGGCCGGCCAGGCAGGCAGACAGACAGACAGACACACACTGATACAGAAGAGGCTCGGGAAGGGAGCTGACCTGGTCTGACTGGACCAGGGACCCGGGAGGGCTTCCTGGAGCAGGTGGGGCGCCAGCTGCTCCCAGTCTGCCCTGTGGCTCACCTGACACTGCAGGAGTCCACCGTTCTGTCCTCTGCCTCCTCCATCTCCCCTGCCGGCCACCCCCTCCCTGCCCCGCCTTCCTGTCTTCTGCCCCCTCTGTCGCCCCCACCGGCCACCCCCTCCCTGCCCCGCTGTCCTGTCCTCTGCTACCTCCGTCGCCCCTGCCGGCCACCCCCTCACTGCCCCCCCCCCCCCCCCCCGTCCTGTCCTCTGCCCCCTCCGTCGCCCCTGCCGGCCACCCCCTCGCTGCCCCCTGAGCTCCTCAGGGGCCTTGGTTCCTCTCTGCTGGTGGAGTCTAATCCGTCAGCTGCGTGCAGGCCGGGCCCTCGAGGGCTGCCTTCCCCTGCGCCTCGCCCCAGAACCAGAGGCTGACCCTCGGCCTTTTCCCCGAGTCTCTGCTCAGGCTGCCTTCCTGCAGGGGACGCCGCCCCTATGCCGCTCCTCCCCTCCCCCCCCCCCCCCCACTGGGCGGATACTCGCCAGACCTGGCTCCAGCGTCGCCTCTCGGAAGCGATGCCTCCACCCCTCTTGATCAGCGCCCTTTTCACACGGGCTCTGCGTGCCCGCCTGTGTTTACGTGATGGCCACACAGCTTGTCGTTAACGGCCTCGGCACCGTCTGTGAGCCTCCGGGCTGCTTGTCCCTGACATCCCTGAACCAGCTGCTTCCGGCTGGAGTGTGACAAGGGGCTGTGCCTGCCTCCGGCCCCCTTCTTACAGTCCTTATGGAACGCTGCATGCACGTGTCCCCTGTGTGTGCCTCTGAGCCCGCACGTGCTCCCGGGAGCTCTGCCTTGGGCAGACGGCACAGGTGGTGACACAGAGTCCAGACTGAGCACAAGATGCAGCCGGTTGTTTAGTCCAGAGGAGCTGCTAGGAAACCCCAGCGGGACCAGCTCTGCAGCCTTGTGCAGGGGGACGGCCGGGGAGCGAGGGGCTGCTTCCAGGCCGTGTCGAGGAGGTGGTGGCTTCCCTGTTAGTCTTAGGTGTTTGTGCTGCGTTTAACTTCTAAGGCCAGCCTGGGCCGTGGCTTCGTGTTCAGTGTTGGCTAAATATCTGACCCAAGAGCACAGCCTTGAATTCCACTGAAACTAAATGGCAAATGGCATTTCAAAGAGAGGTGGGCTTACGCTTAAAATGTCTTTATTTTACATCAATAAAATAATAATCTGGCCACTCAGTGTATATCCTATAGAATAAAAGGCTAATATGAAAATTATCCCCTCGACCAGGAGTTCAACCAGCAGGCAGCGAGCCAACTGCCCATTTCCCCTCCCCCTGACCAGGCTGGCTGGACCCCATCCATGCACGAATGCATGCTCCGGGCCACTCAGTGTGTGGATGCTTATGGCGTACACATGGTTAAGTTACTTGAGTGTTTTTGGTTGGCTGTTCATTTCCAGGGTGGACTGTGAAGGAGGCACCTCTCAGAGAGGGTCCTCTCCCCAGCGGAGGCGAATGTGGCCCCAGAGCCAGCCCTCTGCACTCCGGCCTCCGCCTCTCCTGGACGGGAGGCGGGGATGGACCCAGCCCCAGGGGCTGCAGTTCCTTCGTCTGTAAGACAGGTCTGATGCCTGTTCCGTGATCAGCCCGTTCGTGTGGATGGGTTAAACAAGGAGAGTGCAGGCAAGGCCCTTCCTCGCGTGCTGGGCACAAAGGAGGAGCTTTCAGATGCTGCCGTCGTGGCCGTGGTTGGTGGCCCGGGGGCGGTGGGAGGCGGCGGTGCCCGGCGCGGGCTGTCGGGGCTGATGGCCTGTGTGTGTGTCTGCAGCACCGTCTTCCTCATGGGGCCCGTGAAGCAGCTGAAGAGGATGGTGGAGCCCACGCGTCTGATCGCAACCATCCTGGTGCTGGTGAGTCGCCTGTCGGCTGGGCGTTCTGCTCCGGGCATTTCTTTCTTTCTTTTTTTCTTTCTTTCTTTCTTTCTTTTTATTTTTATTTTTATTTTTATTTTTATTTATTTATTTATTTTACATATTCATTGATTTTTTTTTGCCCTCCTCTTTCCCTCCCCAGAGTTTTATGTCCATTGGTTGTACTTATATGCATGTATACAAGACCTTCAGTTGATCTATTGTATTATCTCCCCAAGATCTTCCTCCCCTCCCCACTGTAATTTGACAGTCTGCCTGTTGCTTTACTTTCTCTATATCTGCCTCTTGGTTCATCAGTTTATAATGATCTTTATCATCCACCAATGAGTGAGGTCATGTGGTGTTTCTCCTTCACTGATTGGCTTATTTCACTCAGCATGATGCTCTCCAATTCCATCCAGGTTGCTGCAAATGATGGTGCTCTGGGCATTTCTTCCCGAGCCTTTTCCTTTCCTCGTGACTCAGTTCCCGATGCCCGTGACCCTGCCGCACAGGGAGCATGCTCCACCTCATCATCACCCCGCTTTGTGTTTCTGTGGGTGTTACGGTGCTGCCAGTTCTGTAAAGCACCTCCAGAGGGCGCTGCTTGTCAATTTAGCCAAAATGATAGGGTTGGTGAAGTCTCACTCAGCCATAATGGAGGGAATCAGGCATAAAGAGGGAGTCGCTGGGAGAGACCAGGGGGAGGCAGGGGGAGGGGGGGGGAGGGGCTCAGTCTCTGGGGGTGGCTTTAACAAAGTCCTGTGACTTTGGGGTCATGTTTGATTCTGTAGGTCTTCCTTTCTCCCTGTCCGATAACTCAGAATGCCCGTCATGTCTTTGGCCCGTTCTCTTCCATGCGACCATCCCAATCACCCAGACCGCGCTCTGGCATCATCAGTGGTGTGACACTGGGAGCCTGGCAGCACGATGCGTAGGTTTTCCAAGGCCACGCCCACGTCGCTGTCCATTTCGTGCCCTTCCAGAGCACTGGGCCAGTGCCGGCCACACAGAAAAACTCAGACTTACCTCTGGGGAAGTTACGGTGACGGAAGGAGGAGGTGGCAGGCGTGCGGCCGCTCTAGCTCCTGCCGTCCTCGCCATCGAGGGTGAGGGCCTGGACAGGTGTGCCTCGTAGAAAGAACTTTCTGAGAAGGGCCTAGAGGAAGTGTCAGGTGGCGGGGACACACACAGGTCCCCGGCTCGTCGCCTGTGAGCGTGGCATCTCGGGTTAACCTTGCCCTCACGTGGCTCTTCCTCTCAGACGGATGCTGGCAGGAGCTGGATGCAGGTACGGGTGAAGCCCGTTTACAGTTTGAATGGAAAGACGGCCGGGACTGGGAATGTGGTTTTTGTTGGCTGGGCAGAGATTTTGGGGAAATTACAAAAGGATCCTTCTCGTTTTAATCCGCTGGGAACCTTATTGGTGATTTTAACTTTCCTGCGAACTGCGGGTGCTCAGGCGGTGACGTGCTCGGACATGAAGGATGCATTCGCTGCCGAGCCCATCCCGGGGTCTGCATCCGGCAGCTCGGGCAGTGCCGGTGTGCGTCTGCCAAGAATGAGTATGGTTTTCCCCCGTCGCCATTGTCGCCATAGTAACTCATCACTGTTTCCTTTCTCTCTGCAGTTGTGTTTCACGCTCACCCTGTGTTCTGCCTTCTGGGTAAGTGTGTGTGTCTGCATTCTCCTGAGCCCCCGTGTGTGCGCCCCGCACCCTGTTCACGGGACTGTCGCTTCCCTTTCAGTGGCACAACAAGGGGCTCGCCCTCATCTTCTGCATCCTGCAGTCTTTGGCCCTGACGTGGTGAGTGCCCTTCGCCAGCGGCCCTGCCCTCGGCCCCGGGTGAATGTGCTGCGGGAGGCGGGCTGGGAGAGCACAGAGGGTTCTCAGGGACGCGGTGCAGCCTGTGACCAGCTGCTGCCAGCAGGTGGCAGGAGTGGCCCCGGGAGGCTGGCTGCCAGGCTCCTGCTTCATCTGGAGATGTTACTGCTCCTAACCACTCGTGTCCAGTGAGAGCGAGGGCAATGGAGTCTGACAAGGGCTGGTAAAAATAGTCTGTGAGTCAAAAAGATGTTGAAGACAAAGGAGAGCGGTAAGAACGATAATGAGCGCTGTGTGGGGAGGGGATGACTCAGTAACAGAAGCAGGAAGAGGGAGCTGTCAGCGGGAGACAAGGAGCCCACTGACAGGCCACCATGTGGCTGTGGGCGGTCTCAGCCCCCGCACAAGGCCTGGGGCCAGGCCGGTGGAAGGGCCGCTGGGGATGTGGGTACCTGGACCCACCGGGGGCTGTGGGCTCATGGCCCTGTCAGTCTGGTCCAGCGTCAGAGGGAGGTGGTGGTGGGGGAACATATGGCGTCTGTAGCTTCTGGTCCTGTGGGGCCTCCCTGTGCTCACAGGGAGACGGCCGCTGAGGGGAGGTAGGGAGGAGAATGAGGGAGGGTCCCGTTGGGACATGACGCATGTTTTGTAGCAGGCGCTGCATGGGCCTGGCGTGGCCGCTGATGTGTGTATTTCTGTTTTCTGGGGGCAGAAATGTGTACCCACATACATATGTCTGTCTTATATAGCTGTCCCCTTACCCGTGGGGCCATGTTTGTTCCGTGTCCCCCTGAAACCAGGGCTAGTACCGAACTCTATACGGTACATACTAGGCCTTTTTCTGCACATGCCCACCTGTGATGAGGTGTCCTCAGTCATCAGGCACAGCAGGTGGTTCACCACAGTAACTAATAAGATAGAACACGAACACAGTTTAGAGGGGTGTCGAACTCAATCAGAGAAGGGGCCAAAATCTAAAATCCAGCCTAAATCGCGGGCCGAATGGTTTACTGAACAGTCATAAACTGTCATTGTGATGGAAACGCAACGGAGTGCAGTGATGACAGCGCGGTGCGGGCCACATTGCAAGGCCTGGCGGGACGGATTTGGCCCGCGGGCCTTGTGTTTGACACATGTGGGTCACTTTAGACAATAAACGTTAGTGAATGTGGCCTCTCCCTGTGGGTACCACCCTGCCGTGCGGCCTCCCTGTGACCCCGCGGCGGTGAAGGCCTGAGGTCGGGGTGCCCCTTCTCACGGAAGGAAGCCTCCCGGCTTCTCCGCGCGGATCTGGAGCGCAGCACCAGGTCCTGCACTCCGGCCATCACTGAGAGAAGTGAGGGACCCGGGCACCAGCCTGTGGTTCCGAAGGCTGAGCTGGTAGCTCAGCGGCTGTCGGGTGGGACAGCGTGAAGATTCGCGTCCCGATCGGGACAGCGTGAGATTTCATCACACGATTCAGCACACAATTTAAAACTCAATTATTTCTGGGATTTTCCATTTAGTATTTTGGACCACAGTTGACCACGAATAGCTGAAACTGTGGAAAGCGAAACTTTGGAGACGGGCAGGAGGGACGGCTGTGGACTGCTGCTGAAGCCAGTGTTCAGAGGACCCGCGTCCCTGTGGGCCCAGGCCAGGGCCCTCCCGTTGCTCTGACGGTTTGCTTTTCCTAGGGCTCCGTCTGCAGGCCTTCCTCGGGGTGGCGGGCACGGCTGCCTGGGGCCACCAGGTGCCTTTGGACTTGGGTTTGAAGAACCAGAGGTCGTTTATGTTTTCATCCGTAGAGTAGTTGGTACTGGGTTTTATGTTTTTCTGTTCTCTCTAGTTTCAGCAGTAATTGGAGCAGAGCGGGCAATTCCTCCCATCCAGTGGTGCGAGTTGTGTGCTGTTGAGGATTTATAAAATATGAGAGCACAGGGAGTCTAGGGCTTGTATGGCATTCTCTCCGGACAGGGCTCTGTGCCATCGGGATTTCTGGATCTGCCTGTTTGAGGGGACCCTGCTGGCTCAGCGGGTCAGATCGGTCACCCACGAGCCTGAGGTCACCTGGCTGTCTCCACCTGGGCGTGTTGCCTTCCTCCTTTGGACACAGATGACACTCCCCCCCCCCCCCAGTATATGATGGCATAGCGTGTGTGCACGCGCACATGCGTGTGCATGCACAATACTATGTGTGTGTGTGTGTGTGTGTGTGTGTGTGTATGCGCGCGCGCACGCGTTCATGTGCATGTGTGTGTGCCCTCGCACCCTTCACCCCAGGATCCCATAAGTCCCTGCAGATGCCCTTACAGCGCAGAAGCCTGTCCCGCTGTACGGTCTGCGCCCCCGTTTAACTTGACCTTCTGTTTGTTTCTCTGTAGGTATAGCCTCTCCTACATACCGTTTGCAAGGTAAGTCGGCTGCGTGAGGAAGTGGCGTTGTCACTGGGGGGTGTTGATGTGTGTGCACAGGACTGTGGTAGGAAGTGTTTTCAGAGATTGCCTGTTCTTCCATCTTTCCTGAGCTGTGAGACAAGCGGGCAGGTTGTATACATACTATTTATAGGTCAGTGAGCTAAGGTCCCCCCTGCCCATATAAGCGGCGATGGGCATCGGGCAGGCCACCTGCACGTACTGCTGCGATCTGTCGTGTGTGTGCCCATGCCCACCCATTAGCCTGCAGCTTTGAGAACCACATCCATCTGCCTGAGCCCGAGGTGGAGGGACCGGAGCGCGGGCTGTCTTCCGCAGCATCACTGGGGCGATTCAGGGAGGAGTCTGAAGGGGAAGTCAGCTGGCCGGGTTCCTGGGAGAGGGCGACCTTGGTGACCTTGGCGACCTTGGCAGCCCGCTGCCCCTCGGGCCTCAGGCTCGCTGACGACTCAGCGGGTTAGCCCTTCAGCACTAAGGCTCTGACTGCAGACCTCCTTACATTGGCACCGTGTGTGGTCTGCCTCTGACCCTGCTCCCATGTCACCATTTAATTTCCATGCTGATAAAAAGAAAAATGGTGTGTGAGCAGGGCAGCAGGCTTTCGTCGGACGCCTCCCAGATCCGTTGGACGGTGACGGGGACGCTGGGAGTGAGGGGACGACAACGTAGAAGCCCCCGGCCGCATTCACAGCGGCAGCGCCTTTGTGAAGGGCCCCCGCCTTCCAGGCCCCAGTGTGACCTGTGCATGTGAGCTTCTCTCACCGGAGCCCCTCCTGGCCACAGCAGAGCAGAGCTTAGGGAACGTTCTTCTCGCATCATCTTGCTGTTAAAGCACACGGGAGTGCACGCCCTCACCGCCCTGCAGCGGGCACCCCGGGCCGGGCACAGGTGCCGCTGGGAATGGGCAGGGCTGGGTAGGGCAGCGGTAGGTTGAGTGCTGTCTCCCCGTGCGGCCCGCACTGGTCCCGGAGCGGCCGGCGAGCGCCTGCTGTAGGGCCCGGCAGAGCTCCTGGCGGATGGCGCGCCGGCTGCTCGCTTAGAAGGAAGGAACCCGAGCGGCCGTCTTGCTGACAGCATGGACCTCATCCTGTGACCCTGGTCGCTAGAAAGGGCCCCCTCCTGGCGGGTGCCTTGGTTCCTGATGGGCTGTACCTCCTTCCTGCCTTTTCCTTTGGTCATCACGATCTCTGGCTGTCCTTGAGCACGTTCCTACTGCATTCAACGCCCTCCTTCCCACCGCTGCTGGTCAGGAGGGAGAGTGGGGTCACCCCTTTGCACAGATGAGACATTTGCAACTCAAACAAGGCAAGCGACCTGCCCAGGCGGTCTGACCCCCCGTCTGGTGCTTGCCGCTCTGCAAGGTGCTGCTCCGGGTGACCGTCTCCGTTCACCTCTGTGTCTCCTCCTAGGGACGCGGTGAAGAAGTGTTTCGCTGCCTGTCTCGAGTAGCAGGCGGCCCGTTTCGCACAGCTCTGGACGGCACGGCGGAAGGAAGCTTTCGTAGGAAGCTGGCAGACGCTTTGTAGATGCCTCCACACCTCTCGCTCACGGACACCGGCCTTCCCTCCTCGGCAGTGGGTCCCCGCGATGCGCGTACGGCCCGCTGTGCCCAGCCCGTGTCTGCAGCACAGCGGGGGCTGTGTCCTCCTCGCCCTCCGGTGACAGCGGTGTTTCCGAACCTGCACGGCGGCCCCTGCAGATCCCGCCCGGCGGGTTTAACGTCAGCCACGCCTTTTCTCTTGGGGCTGCCAGCTTGCTTTCCTCCTGACCTGACCTGGAGCTGGATCGGGAACGGAGCCCCGGGGAAGACACCGCTCTCCCTCTGGGAGAGCCGACCGGAGGCGAACACGTTTGCTGTCCTTGCTGTGTTTTCCTTCGTTTCCGTCTGGAGTGGAGCCGGGGGGGAGGGGAGGGGAAAGACAGCCCCAGGCGCTTGAGCCCGAGGCAGAGACACTGGAGAAGGCGCCGGGGCTGCGGGCAGACCCTGCTCAGCCGGATGGCCACCTCCACGCGCGCTCCTGTGCCCGGTCTTGTCTGGGCCTCACCAGCCTCGTGGCTGAGCAGGTGAGGAAACCGAGGGCCAGAGAGGTTTCCGGTTCTACCCAAAGCTACGGCTGGTGGCAGCGCCGAGCCTCGCAGGACCCTGTGGTTCCCGGGGTGGCCCTGGGGTGCTCCTGGGCCTGGGTCCCTGCCTCCCTCCGCAAGCCTGCGACGTCCCGGGCCCGAGCTGCGCCCCTGCGGTGGCCCCCGCCTCTCCCCTCTGGGAGGTGCCTGACCTTGGCCTCTCTGTTCTCCGTGTCCTGGAGCCGTGGCTGCCCGGCCATCAGAACGTCCCGCCGTGGCCCCGAGCTCCTGGCATTGAAGGACCTCGCGCAGGCCTCTTCCCTGCACCTCCACGCCGAGGCCGGACTCCCTGCCACTGAGACCCCGGCCGGCCAGCCTTCCCTCTGTGCTGGGAGGGAAGGGACACTGACGACACCCTCTGGCTTTTAGGGTCCTGGCGCCCCTGGGAGAGAATCCAGGGCTCTGAGGGGCACGGCGCTGCCTCACGCCTCCCAGGTGTGTAGATGGTGGTGGTGAGCGTGGGCGTTGATGGCAGGCCCGTCGGGTGGGAGTTGGGGCTCTGTCACTGCCATGTAGAACCAGTCGCCTAGCCTCTGGCCCTCAGATTGCCCCCGTTTAACCACCGGGAATAAGTCTGCACTGGCTGTGGCAGGACGGCCTCACGTGGTGGTGGGTCTTGACCAACGTTACTTAATGCCAGACATCGCCGATGCCGTGGAGGTGACGGTGCGTGTCTCGTGCCGCTAACTCGCCTGAAAGCTGTGCCCTGCACAGTGTGCCTGCGCGGCAGGTGTTGCCTGTGCGATCGCATTAATAGTCACAGTGCCTCGCCCTTGTGGGGAGGCCTCGTCTGCCTTGTTCACAGAGCGGCCTCAGCTGTGTGGATCCCACCGGGAGCGGCAGCGGCTCTTGCAGCAAAGCTGCTTCCCCACTCTGTGGCCGGGGCCTGTCGGATCGACTTCCATCAGGACACGTGGGCAGCGAGGGTGTGGCGCTGCCTTCCAGGACCTTCCGGAACCCTGTTTCTCCTGCTTCCGCTTGTGCTTTTTTGCTGCTTGTTTCTGTGGGAGGAAGACGTCCGTTTCAAATCTGCTGAGCACCGTTACCAAGCAACTGCCTGTTTCCAGCCGCCTAGTGGGTGGGAGACGGGCGTGGAGAATTGGGGTTCAGACCCGGGGCTGTAGGGCTCTCCCTGCTCCCCTGCCTGGTGTGCTCACTGCTGGGGGAGAGACCATAGCGTTTGGGAGCGGAGGGGACCACTGAGGTGACGCCTGCAGAGGGCTGTGCTCCCCTGAGGGCACAGTGCCAGCTGGGTGCAGTGGGCCCTGCCCCCCTCCTTCCTGGACCTGTACCCCAGGCCGCTGTGCTGGGAGGTGGGGAGCAGCTGGCCAGCAGGCTCCCGGCCTCTTCCATGCCGCACAGAGCCTGCCTTCCACCCCGTCTCCCTCTGCCTCTGGTCTTGGCTCCTCGTGTGGCTGTGCCCCGTCCACGGCTGCCAGGCCCGCCGGCTCCCCGCCCCCATCTCCCGGGCAGGCCGCCTCGTCCCTGGGAGAGCAAAGCTGCCCCCAGCGGAGCACTGCCACCGTGCTTACCAGGCCGAGGAGCTTCTGTCCCTCTGGTGGGGCGACGGGGCTGTTCGCCTGCGTGACCCTCCTCCCACCCAGGCCGTGTGTGCTCAGTACCATGGAGAAGGGGCGCACCTTAAAAGAGGGTGGAGGGGTGTGGGCTCCTGCGCTGGCCACATCCCGCTTGGGGAGTGCCATGGGGGACAGCTGTTTCTATGAGTGGTGAGACCAGTGGAATGAGTAGGAAGCGGCTGCAGGGCTGTGGCCCAGGACCCCTCTCGGGGGCAGCGGCAGTGCCCCCTCCCCTCCCCTTCCCTCCCCTCGGGTCCCTGCTGCACGGCCAATCGTGTGCAGCCTTACAGAGCCGCCTGGCTCGGTTTCTGATACCGTTCTGACTACAACCCAAGTAACCTTTGATGCGGACATGTGCATAGTTTCTTTGCAGATGCTATTTTTGTAAATGCTTACAGACCTTCCACTGAGGGTAAATGCAGGTTTATATCCGGATGTCTCTTGATAAGACATTAACAAACGAATTTAGATTAAGGTGACCAGTCGTCCCGCTTTTGGCGCGACAGTCCTGATTTTTAACCATTTGTCCCGCATCCATCCCGTTTTTTTAAAACGCCGCGGGATGCGGGACAAATTGTTAAAAATCGGGACGTCTGGTCACCTTAATTTAGATGTGGAAGTCCAGGTTTTTTGGGGAGTCCTTACTTAAAACATCGGGGGGTTAAATTATGTGTTTCCAGCACCTTCTAGCACAACGCCTGACGGGATGCTGAGATCTCGCGGGTTTTATTGGAGGAGAGCGGGCAGGTGCGGTGCAGGGTGTTTAGTCCCAGTTCATGCCCCATATGGGGTGTCTCGTTCCCCCTTGGGGCGCCTTCCAGCTCTGCCCCGTGCACGGCTGCCCCCGGCCTGCACCAGCGAGCTCCCGGGGCGCCCGGGGGCCCCTCGCTCCGGGGCCGGAGGGCCAGGGGGCTGCGGGAGCCGCGGAGCCTGAGTGCGTGGACGGAACGCGATCACCTCCTCCCTGGCAGCAGCCGGCCCGCTGGCAGCGGCTCGGAAACGTGCGGACTGTCCTGTCCTCGGACGAGCTAAGAGCCGGGAAGATGGGTCCCTGGCACAGGAGGGCCCGGCTCTTTGGAGCCACAGGTCGGCCATAGCGATGTGATAGATCAGTGACTTCACCCTTTTCCTCACGTGGCACAAACTAACTGCTAAAATTCTGTGGCACACCAAAAAAACACGTGTGTGTTTTTTTTGACAATTTGACCAAAAAAAAAAAAAAAGGTGTAATTTTGATTCATTCACGCTGGATGACTGTTGTGGTGGCTGTTGTCAGTTTTTTATTTGGCGTTCTGCGAGAGAAGAGGCCCGTGCCCGGGCTGCCCAGTCAGGTGGTGCACGTTTTAAAGTTCTTTGCACCGGGTGACAGTCAGTGTGCTAAACAATACCAGGGTGTGCTTCATAGCAGAGTTTTGGCACCGCATCTAATGCACAGAACCAGGAAAGGTCTCAGGTCACTGCATCTAATGCACAGAACAAGGAAAGGTCACAGGTAGAAGCTCCCTGATGAGAACGGGCTGTTGCACCGAGCATCCTGCATCCTGCCAGGCGTCCTGGGACCATGCAGACGGGTCTGGGCAGGTGTGGCTGCGGCCGGACACCGTGCTGGCGGGGGCAGGGAGGCCTCCCGAACGTCTGGACGAGCCTCAGTTTGTGAAATGTCCTCCAGGAAAATCCTAGCTCACAGCTCATCTCGCCTTTCCGCCGTGACACCTGTTTACTTTGCCTTCCACATATTTGCTTGACTTAGCCGCTTAGAACAAGGAAAGGAAACACAAAAAACCCCCCTCTGGATGTGTACTTTTTGCTGCATTTGTAAAATGGATGGTGAGGGTGGGGGTGAGGATGTTCGGAAACCCGTGGAAACTTCTGTGCCTTCAGAACATTGTGCCTGTTCAATGTGATGAGCTTTTAAAACACTTTGTTAAAACGTGATCCTGTTTTTTGTAATTATATAGTCAACAATTTTGAATGTTGCTGATTGCATCACTGAACTTTTTAATATCCAAAAAGGTTTGTGTGTGTGCTCCTTTTCCCACCTTTTCATATAATAAAGATTGTGCTCTTTTTACTAGCTCATTTCAGAGAGGAAAAGTTTTGCTGGTATAAGCTATTTCATACTCCCCTTACCCCCAAAAAAGAATCAAAACTATTCTGTTTTTGTTTTGCTTTTTTCCCTTCTTTAATAAATGATAACGTTATGATCTTTAATAAAGCTAGTGTTGCCTCTTATTCTTGTTTGTATTTCCAGGAGTCACTACACCAAATGATGCTTGTATGACTATAAGGAAAGTCCACGCCTTTAATATGAATCCTTTGTGGGTAGCATACATGGTAGGCGCTTACCGATGTTCATTAAGCTGAGTGGACATGTGGTCCTCTCAGAGGCCCTGCAGATGGGTCTAAGGACGGTTTTGAAGGTGTTTGAGGGGTAAGTTGTTTGGGGGCAGTTCCTATACACCTAGCTTGTTTAGTCACCTAGTTCAATAAACTAGGATTGTCAGATTCATTAGCATAAAGTTTTTAATTTTAAAAAATTGTTTTCATGTCTATAGGATTTGTAGTGTCCCATCTTTCATTGCAGAGACTGGTGCTTTGTGTCTGCTCTCTTCACCTGAGGTTTATGAATTTTATTGTCTCAAAGAAACATCAGTTAAAAAGGTTTGAACAAGTATTTTACAAAAGAAGATATGTGAATGGTTAACAAACATATCTAATACTAACTAGAGGTCCAGTGTACAAATGCGTGCACGGGTGGAGTCCTCTGGGTGGCCTGCAGGGATTAGGCCGAAACCAGAAGTCCAGCACCACCTACAGCTCCTACCTGCTGCTCCTGCTCATCCCGACGCCACTGTGCCTGCCATGGGCTCAAGCCTAATCAGTCCCGATATTGAGAGGCTTGCGCTGCCATAGCCGCACTCACCAGCTATGATCCCTGTGTCTGATGCCCTCCCAAGGGGAGTGGCCTACGGGATCGAACTGAAACCGGCTCTCCAACATCCCCGAGGGGTCCTGTATTGCGAGAGGGTGCAGGCCAGGCTGAGGGACCTCACTGGTGCACGATCGGGCCAGGAGGGACCGAGGTAGGGCTCCAGGGTGTGTCTGACCCATCTCACTCAATCTTGTTCAGCAGGACCCCAGCAGCAAGCTAACCTACTGGTTAGAGCATCTGCCCCCTGGTGGTCAGTGCACGTCATAGCGAGCTATTGAGCAGCCTTAACATATCCTTAGCATACTAAAGGCCCCGTGCATGAAATTCGTGCACTGAGGAGGGGGGTCCCTCAGCCCAGCCTGCCCCCTCTCACATACTGGGGGTCCTCAGGGGATGTCCTACTGATGACATCACTAGGGAGCGGGCCTAAGCCACAGTCTGACCTCCCTTTTCAGGAGGTGACCAGCTGATCAGGGAAAGGCACCTGCCCCATCGCCCCGCTGCTGCAGCCACTGCCAGTCACCACAGCCGCCAAGGTGTTTTCATCAACACAGACCCCCTTCACCATGAAAAACACAACTTTCTTTAGGTATTTTCAAGATGTGTCTTTCATAGGATATGACATTTATTTTTCTTTTATCCTCACCTGAGGATATGTTTCCATTGATTTTTATCCCCTTCCCTCCGATCCCGGACAGCCATCGGAGGGACAAGGGCCCCTTACTTTCCCTCTCCCCCGCCCCTCCCATCATGGGCCTAGGCTGCCCAGGCTTTAGGCTTGGGCAGGGGGCCCCTCTGATTGCAGGCTCGGGCCCTTCCCAAACCTGAAGCCTCTGTCTGAGGCTTTAGACTTGGGCAGGGGCTCCGCCCCTTCGATGGCTAGTTGGGAGTGACGTGGGTGCCGAGGAGGTTCCTGGGACCCAGGTATATATGCAAATTAACCACCATCTTTGTTGGGTTAATTTGCATTCTCTAATTGGCCATGAGCATAGTGGAGGTATGGTCAATTTACATGTTTCTCTATTATTAGATAAGATTATGCTTTGATTGGCTGTTTGATTATTTTGCCTTTTGGTCTATTTACATATCACCCTTTTATTATATCGGACTAGCTTCCCAGTGCATGAAATTCATGCACTTGTGGGAGGGGATTCCTCAGCCCGGCCTGCACCCTCTCACAGCCTGGGAGCCCTCAGGGATGTCTGACTGATGGCTTAGGCCTGCTCCCTGTCAGTCAGACATCTGTAACACAGACATCTGTAACATGGAGGCATGAGTCCAGCTTCTGGCTGAGCAGTGGGAGCACACTGACCACCAGGGGGCAGCTCCTATGCACCCTGGTGGTCAATGCACATCATAGTGACTGGTCGTTCTACTGTTTGGTTGATTTGCATATTAGCCTTTTATTATACAGTGGTGCCTCGCATAAAGAACGCCTCGCACAGCGAACGCTGCACACAACGAACTTCATTTCATGATTCATACAACGAACTTCGTTTCACACAACGAAGTCGCCCGAGCTTCCACGACCGCTTTGCCCGAGCTTCCACGACTGCTTCGCCCGAGCTTCCACGACTGCTTCGCCCGAGCTTCCACGATCGCTGCCGATGTATTGCATCCTTCCGCGCAGGCACTGTAGGCAGTCGTTAGTCACTGCGCTTAACTTAAGCACGTATCGCGGCAATCGTTCTTCATTACGAATTAAATCACGCACGTATCACGGCAGTCGTCCTTTTAAGTTAAACTCAATATTTTTTTTATATCATGGCTTCTAAAAAACAGGACAATGCTCAAAGGGAAGCGTCATCTGATAACGAGGAGCAACAATCAAACAATCAACCATTCCCAACTGCTGACATCAAGAACATCCTGGTCAAATGGAAAGCAGTTCAGGAGTTTACCAATGCCCACTATCCGGATTCAGCTGAAGCAAACAGGATCAACGATCTTTACTCCGATACTCTTGTCCGTTATTTCCGGCAGATGTTGGAGAAAAGAGAAAAACAAACGACTTTGGACAGGTTTTTCATGAAACCATCGGCCAAAAAGCAGAAAATGGATGAAGATGTGCAAGATTCGGTAGACTCTACTTAGTCTGTCTTAAAATTTAAAAAATGTGTGTTTTTTTTTTAAAAATTATGTTTTTAGATGTATCTAAATAAAAATAATAACAAAAAATTTATCTTTTTTTATGTCATCTTAGCATATTTTATGCTACAGAACGAATTATTTTTCTTAACATGTATTGTTATGGGAAAACGCGTTTCACATAACGAACTTTTCGCATAACAAACTTGCTCCTGGAACAAATTAAGTTCGTTGTGTGAGGCACCACTGTATAGGATTGTGTTATTGTATGAAGATTAAAAACCAAATAAAACTAAATTCTTGACTTTAAAGATGCATTCTTAGGTGGTAAAATTAAAATGCCAGGCAAGGAAGTTATTTGCAT